GATGCATTTATTTTCTCTTGACTGTGGGTGTTATGGGACTAGCTGCCTGAGTCCTTGCCTTCATTTTCCTTCACTGATGGACTATAACCTACAACTACAAACCAAACTTCGTCTCCTGTGTTCCTTTCGTTCAGGGTATTTCATCACAGCCATAGAAACAACACAACCTCAACTCTGTTTCCTCATTTTCAAAAGACTAGATTGAACCGATTTTTCTTGAGCTTTCCCAGAACTGGCCACAGAGTCCTTAAACATCCAGCAACAGAGAACCTTTTTTTCTTTTTCTTTTACAAAATGCTCTTTTGCCTCTGCAAATCAAGCCTGAGATTCAGCTTCTCAGGCCCTAGTATTCATGTACTCACAGCTGGTTCCTCTGTGATATAGGCTCCTCGGCACTGATACTCTGTGGTCTCACTATCTGCAGGAAGCAGTGGAGCGTGGAGGTCAAGGTCTACCATCTTGCTAGCACTAGATGGAATTCCATCCAGGCTACACTGCTTTGTCTATCGAAAGACCTGCATAAATCCAGACGCCTCCCCCCGCCCCAGCAGGAAAAAATAGAGCCAAAAATCTAAGCAGGGAGAGAAGAGTCAGAAATCTAGGATTAGCTGGTTCAGTGTTTCAGGAACCAGCTGAAGATAAAGTTAGATTGTAATCTTGAGAATAATCTTGAGGAACAGGGAGTTTCCCCCTTGTGATTATCATTGGTATTTTTTGGAATTTTCTGTGACACCCTCCCTACCCCTTTTGGATTACTGGGCTGTGATTTCTTCCCTTAAAAACCCCTTCTCCCAGCTACTTGGGGTCGAACTCTTCCCGTGTGTGGGTTATGAGCCCCAGTGCACTGGTTCCCATCTTGTCAATTAAACCTTGTGTGATTGCAGCAAGGACATTCTCTTGTGAGTTACTGGGGGAGTCATGCTATCCCGAGACTTGAGTGAGAGTCTCCCCATATTGGGAGTCTTTCACTATAACTTCAGTTATCAACTAATATTTGTGGTCCTTCCTCCCTTCTTTCGAAAACTGGAGTAATGGCCAGGCAGTGGTGGTGCATGCCTTTAATCCCAGCATTCAGGAAGCAGAGACAGATGGATCTTTGTGAGTTCGAGGCCAGCCTGATCTACAAGAGCTAGTTTCAGGACAGGCTCCAAAGCTACAGAGAAACCCTGTCTCAGAAAAAAAAAAAAAACTGGAATAATGATATTGCATCCCCATCATCTACTATGAAGACTGCATTGTTAACACCACTTCAAATGGTACTAGTAATATGCAGCATGGGCTTTGAATATCAGTTGGTGCTTTGGTTGAGCTCTGCAGTTTACAGTCTATTTTCCCCTCCTTGGTATAATCAAGAGCTTCCAGAGGAAGATTCTTATATTGGAAGGAAGGATACAAGAGGTCACCCAGGACTAGACTTGACAAACTTTGTCAAAGCTCAGCTGCTTTAGAGCCCATTGTCTTAGATGGTGGGTCACAATCTCGGATTGGAGGAGGAGGCGTAACTGAACATGGGCATTGTCAAAGTATTGGCAGCAATAAAGGGGTTTTGAAAGTGCAATGGCAAAGATCAATGCAAAATCAAATGCACAACACCTGTGTGTTCCTGGCAGAGCTCACCCATGTTACACCGGGCATCATCTCTGGAACCTTGCTCCTTAGTCCATAATACATGCGCTTCCCACTGAGCACACTGTCAGGACCCCAGTGCCCACAAACTCTGCCTAAAGCCCAGAGCTCAGACTCCAGACTATCGTATATTATGGGCTTCAGTGTTGTTACTGCATTGCAAAGATTTCTGCCCTTATAGGAACATAATGATTTAATTATGGAGGGAGCCTTAACGTTTTCCCATCACTCCTCTGTATATAAGTATCAAATTAGTGTATCTTTGGCTAGTATTATGTTAGAATGTTTAACTTTTTAAATTGTTATTTGAGTTGCTGAGTTTAGGTTCATTTTTAACAATCATTAAATGAATTTTTGGCTTGTAACTGACAGGATAGGATTTCAGACACCTTCTGACATGGACTTAAACTTATTTCTGTTAATAGTTGGTCATATACTATTTGCCTATAGCCCAAGTCTCTCTGCTATGCAATGTGGCTAACCTGTGTGGACAATTCAAGTGCCAGAACTTAGAGTCACCGAGCACCTTAAGTTATAATTGGTGCTTTCAGTTGCCTCAGGCTGGGGAAATATCTGTGGAGACCCCTGAAGCCTCCTCTAACATGAGGATTTGTCATATATCTACTTCACATGAAGCAGTGGTGAAACCATGCAACTCCATGAGCCCCATGTTCCCCGGTCATTTAACACCGAGGAGAAACAGAAATTTCTTGTCTGCTTTCACATCTCTGTCTCTAGTTTAACTTGATGAAACAGAAGTGGAGGCAGAGAGAAGGTCTGTTCCATTGCTGTGTACCTTGCTCCTAAGAAAACCTTTTAAAATTGAGATATCTATTTTTTTTTTTTTTTGTGCTGGTGAAAAGGGCCAACAGAAATAGCTAACAACGGAGCAGGGAGTAAGATTGCCTTCACGCAGCCTACTTCCTAGTCAAGGACTACAGCTCGTATTCTAACACTGGAAGCTGGCTTTCCTGGTTTGATTGCTTAAATGCCCCTCTGGTATACCAGCCTCCGTGATGAGACCCAGCACCTCAGCCTCCTGTGCACTCTTCGTCCTCCTCTTTGGAGCTCAGAGCAGAAAGACCATCATGAGAGACGGCCTAACTTTACAGGGTAAGAGGGATACAAAGCAGAAAAATAAAAAAGGTGTTCACATTGAGATATGAGGGCCCCCTCAATAATGGGAAAAAGCATTGAATTCTCTCAACCAACAATTCTTGGATTTTTTTAAAGGAGTTTTGACCATGTTTCCTATTAAGGGAATAGAGAATAGTCTGTGAACAGGGCATTGGTGGGGGAGGTACTCTCTCAAGGGTACTGTTATACTAGTAAAAAGACAAAACGAATGCACCCTTGAGAATGTAATTATAGCTAGCAGAAAAATTGAGCTCTACATACTATTGTGGGAGGCTAAGTGGGTAAAAATTCCTTTGGAAGACTCTATGGCATTATGAAGAACAGTAAATAACATGTTACAAGCGGCCCAGGAATTCCACTTCTGAGCATAAACTCAAGAAAATTGAGTATATATTCTTACCACAAACTCTATGCAAGAATATGGAAGATTTTTCTCACAACAAGCCCAAACTTTAAACAATCCAAGTTCCCATCGCTAGCAGACTGTGTGAATAAAGAGCACAGACAACGCAATATTATACAACAGCAAGGATGGACCCTCAACCACCGCATGTGGCCATGGAGCAAGCGCAATGGACCCTCAGCCACCGCATGTGGCCATGGAGCAAGCGCAATGGACCCTCAGCCACCGCATGTGGCCATGGAGCAAGCGAATGGACCCTCAACCACCGCATGTGGCCATGGAACAAGCACAATAAAGAAAATGTTCGTTTAAAGAAACTGGGTGTAGTATCCACGTATCGGATGTCTCTGTTTATATAGAGTACAAACAGGCAACGAGTCTTTCTTGCTAGAAAGCAGCATAATGGATGTCACCGGGGTGGGGTAGAAGAAAGAACTCCATGATGCCTCTGTTTCTCATATATTGAAGAGTAGCTCACTGCCAACCTCTTGATATTCCCGTACAATGTCATCATCTACAACGTTCACATTCCAGAGTGGCACAATCAAAAAGATCTCATAAAAAATCTCATGTTTTATGTAAGTATACACTTTCGTGTTAGCCCACATTCAAACTACCCTCTGCTTCAGGTTAGACATGTCTGAATGAATATGTTGGGTTTGTAAAAAAAAAAAACTATCAAATTGAACACATAAGGTGCGTGTAGTTTTATTTGTTTATATTTGTCAAAGAATTAAAATATGGACTTAAAATCTTTGCCTTTCTCTTTACCGTGTACATTTTTGGTTCTTACAGACTCTGGGCATAGCTATGTGGCTTGTTTTGACCAATGAGGTTCACCCTCAAAGTACTGAGAGTTGAAACAGGGGCTTAGTGGACAAGCACCACCAAGCCACAGCCCTCTTCCCCGCCAATATGTTCTTAACAAACAACCTGAGCAGCGGGTTGAAAGATTATTTGCACATGCCTGCTTCCACTCACGCTCTTGTGCAACTTCCATGAAAACATTGCCAGGCTAGTCTGCTAAAAGAATCTACAGAGCCACAGCCAAACGGCCCTTCCTCAGGGTCAAGGTATTCCTAGACGGTCAATACCCAACTGCCTCCCGGATAGGTAAATGCACTAAGACAGCTCAAAGTAAAGTCTGACCAAGCATATCAGAAACCATCAAGGTATAAGCTTGTGAGCAAAATAAACACTTATTTTAAGTCACTGGGCCATTGAAGATGTTAAGCAACATTATTGTGCAACAGACAAATGGCACAATTATATGCTTTAGGTTAAAGCTAAAATCAACTAGAACACCACACACACACACACACACACACACACACACACAAACTGACTTAAAAGATTCATCTCACATCACTGTTTTGAGCACAGCCACATCCTGTGAGAAAGGGAGACTACGTGGCATCCTGGGACCCTGACATCCCACAGACTTAGTGTTCCAAAAGTATAGCAGATGGTCAAGAAAAACCCAGGCCTTGAGTCCGATGGATAAGCCCATCCAAAGAAGCTCCCTGCGCATCTAAAAGCTCTCTCCCATTTCTTCCAAAAGGCACAGCAGCAAATAGCCATTTCTTCTCCCACTTAAAAATAAAAAGGTATTAAAACTTCTCTGATCTACAGAACACCACCAGTAGAATCCCCAGCACGTGCTATATGGACAGGGAATGGACACGACTTTCCGTTTCTGACTTGGCCGCGTTTCATCACACAGGTGAAAACTGATGCTGTGGGTTCCCTTGGCAGATCTCTTTCTGAAATGACCACTGACAGACGTGGGCAGGCACCTGGTATTCAGCTTCCAACTGAGCAGTGGCTGTGTTACCTGGATTAACCTGAGCTTTTGCAGAACCCAGGATGGGCAAGAGCAGGAGCAGCACCAGGGGCATTCTGGGAATCGGGATCATTTCGGAAGATGGAGTTGGATCTGGAGTCTGCAGCCCACCAATAATGCAAGGAAACAGAAAGAGAAGGAAAAGAGATGAGTAATGCAGATTTCACTAACACGCATGAACACAATCTTCCTAGATAATTTAGAATTCTTGCAATGTTTATTTCTATATTTAATACTTCAATAGACCCAGGGATTATCTAATGCAAGAATTTTCCAATTCTATTAGATTATGCACTCACTCCTGGAATTAAAATCAGCAAAACTATACACAGGTAACAATATATCACTGAGGCAAATACCAAACAATAACAACAAATTAAAATTTATATTTATGATATCATCTAATATTTTCGTATTATCAACATTAGTTCCAACATTAAAGCAAAAAAATCAATAACTTTAACCTGTTTTTAAAGCTGTGTAAGTTCAATATTTATCCTGTCCCACTAGATCTGAAGTGATCTGCAGAACTTTGTAGCTTACTTTTTTTTAAGTTTCCTCGAAGAGGTCCATGTGACAATGCTTGAGACATGGATGTATCAGTATATACCCAGATTTAATTCAATAGAGGCATACATGTGGGAATTTTTATATGTATGTATACAAGTGAACATAATACACATCCGTTGACTCCTCACTCCGACAGCTAAGAGGACCCAAGGGCGGAGCATCCTGGCAGTGACCATCCATTGACAATGCAAACCAAGTGTCTGGATCTTGGTTTCTAATCCCACCTCCAATAAAATGAATCAGAGTTCCTTGGAGAAAATGGTTGATTCTGAGACCAGGTCAGAAAATCCGTAAGATAAGCCTGGGATTTATGTTGTACACACACACACACACACACACACACACAATGAAGTGTGTCAAAAGTATATAGGAGCCAGCCAAAAGATCTCCCAGTAACCAACGCTGGAACAATTTGAACAATAAAATAAATAAAGAAGTATTAGATTGTAACTCAGTGTATAAAGTAAATATCCACAAGTCCATGCTGATGTAAACAGATGACTGAATAAACAAACGGGGGAGAACAGCCCATTTTCCATGAAAAAGAATTCCAAATAATTATGTAGCTAATCTGGTCCTTACACATAAGTTTCACAGAGCAACTTGTTTCCAAAGGATACAGCTGGAGCCCGGGGAGGGGCCAGAAAGCAACTTTTTGTGGGGGGTGAGGGAACCTGCCAAACTGCTTAGTGTCAGATAATTACGGTTACATAACATCAGCATTGAAAAGTCATTGTGATGGGTGTGTGTCCTTGGTAGGATGTCATAGCAAGGCACTTGAGGTCAGTGGTCCCGACCCACAAACCATGGCCTTGGTCTGTTCCAAAGGGAAAAAAAAAAAAAGGCAAATACTAAGTGGAGGACTTTCTCCAAGACTCCCCAGTGCTGTCAGTCATCCTAAACAAGAAAGCCCGAGAAGCAGTCACCGCTAACGGGAGGGAAGGCGGTGCGGATACTAATGAAAACGTAATGAGTGGTACACTGTACGCATGCTGGATTTGAAAGAGGACACAGGAGCGGGGGGATACAGAACAAGTCAGAGGAAGCTGTGGACTTTAGCAATGCATCAAGGTTGTTTCGCTCATCTGACAAACAGACAGTACTAACGCAAAATACTAATTCATGTCAGGCACACAGAGCTCCTATGTAATGTCTTCACAATGATTCCGTAAATACACAACTGCTCTACCACCCAGATAACACTGATAAATGACAAGGAGAAGAATCGCTGTAAGTTGGACTGAAGGGGAAAGAATTCCAGAAGGCATCCGTGGGTTCCTGAGAGACAGACAAGGTTTGAATGGGCAGTAAGGGAGGGGCAGACGCAGATGGGCAGGTGGTGCTTTCTAAGTAAAAGAAACTCTCCATGATGATTTCCACACAGTAATATGTTGAGCCACTTGAAAACACTTTTTATTTACTTTTTCGTTGTGTGTGTGTGTGTGTTTGTGTATGTGTGTACACGCACATGTGCATGCATCACGAGAAGACAGCCTGTAGAAGTCAGTTCCCTCCTTCTATCCCATGTCTTCTGGGATTCAAACTCACGTCATCAGGCTTGGTAGCAAGTGCTTTTACTCCCTGAGCCATCACATCAGCCCCTTAAAAGCATCTTTTTAAAATGCCTACATTTACCTATTAATTATTGGTTAAATATGTGTGCGTGTTCACATGCGTGCATGTGGTTGTATGACAGCTTGTGCGAATCCATTCCACGTGGTTTCCAAGAATCAAAGTTAGATCATCAGGTTTGCTGGCAAACCCCTACACCCTTTGAGCCATCTCATCAGCCCTAAAAAATACTTTAAGTCAGATATTCAAATGGTCTTCTTTAAAGAATATAGAATCAGAGCCAGTCAAATGGAAGAGATAAAGGCAACTCTGTGGAGTGCAGTAGGGGCCAGGGAGATCCAAAGATGGTGTGCATTTGCATTTCACGGATGGGTGTGATAAACACCTGTCTCCTCCATCATTGGCCCAAATACTCAGTGATAACATCTGGCTAATCTGAATCTTATTTATTTATTTATTTATTTTGTCCTAAAAGGGACTTTCTTCAAGGATTCCTATGAGCAGACAAAGCCTTCTGAAATGTCTTAGGATTCAGAATGTAGCCATGTGGCGGGCACAAGGACCTCAAAGCGTATGTGGGAATATGAGCAGCCGGGAGAGTCCTTCTCTCTCAGCTTCTGTGACAAACAACACGAACCTCTTTGACAATTGATTCAGGCCTGAAAATATAAAATAAAATTGAAAATGCAAACTCCATTGGTCAGTGTTGCCTTCCACTTGTTTATTCATCGATTATTTTGCAAATGTCCCCTCACACGGGACACAGATGCCTTAAGTGTCAGAGAAGTGTCAGGAGATGACCCAGGCCGTAATGTGCTCCACAGAAGCATGAGGACCTGAGTTTGACCTCCCAGAATTCACGTCACTGAAAGACACTGGCACAGCTGTAAAGCCCAGCACGGGGGAGGCAAAGACAAGAGGCTCTGTGAGAGACCCTGACTCAAAACAACGTGGTGAAGTGTGATCAAGGAAGGTATCCAACATTGACCTCTGGCCTTCACACATGCATTTGTTAATACGTAGATTAAAAATAAATGAGTCAGACAAGATCACCATTGTTATTCCATTGGCTCACGCCCACCCTAGCCACTTTGGACCCCCCCCGCCGCCATCTTCCTCTCTCTCTCTCTCTGGTGTGTGTGTGTGGGGGTGGGTGCGTGCGTGCGTGCGCGCGCGTGTGTGCATGTGTGTGTATGTGTTTTTGTTTTATGTTTGTCTATATCTTCCTTTTTGAGGAATAAATGTCTAGCTTTATATATAGCCTTATGTCCATTTACTCTGCCATTCACCGCATCCAGCCGCTTGACTCTGCCGGGACCCTGACCTCCCTCCCCCCGCACCACCACCACATGGCGCTTCCACTTGCAGCTGCTCCGTAAGCTGTCTGGGACATTCCATCATGGTATTTATCTTTTTAAAAGAACAAAAACCATCATCACAGGGCACAGAGTATGCAAATAAATAAGTAATGAATGCATGAAAAGATGTACGAGAGGCAACCGACAGGCCAAATGCTCTAAATCACTTCTTCCCCTTTCAATCTTGTAATAAACAGGACACTCTGAGGTGTGAAGAGGATCGCTGTACAGTAAAGAGAACAAGGCTGAGCAATGCAGCCAGCGGTGAGCTGTTCCCGGGAGGTGTGCAGTAAACTCTTCTAAGCGTGCAAGTGGCTCAGAGACAGACATACAGAGCGTGAAGAGACTGGGCAGCCAGGATCCAAGCACAAATAAATAAGCATTTGACAAATAAGCATCTGAGAAAAAGGGACATAAAAAAAAAATCAGTAAGTTTCCAGTGACTCAACAGCCTTTACAATAGCAAAAACCAAAGCATAAACACACCTCACACAAAAACACAGAGCCCAAAATTTAAAGACAGACCAATAATCCCAGCACTTGGGAGGCAGAGGCAGATAGAATCCCATGAGTTTGAGACCAGCTTGGTTTACAGAACTAGATTCAGGACAGCCAGGGCTACACAGAGAAACCCCGTAATGAAAAAAAAAAAAAAAAAGGAGAAAAAGAAAGAATCTCAAGAAAGTACATGAATTGTCATAAACTAAAGACTTGCATGAAACAGTATGGAAAGCAAAATACACAGATGAAAGCATTTTCCAGAAAAACCCAGAAATGATAAACTTAGCAGATAAGCGGTGAACAAAGGTAAATATCTGAAACTACAAAACCAAACAACTTCTGTTGCAAAAAAAGCCACCAGATATTTGGGCCAAGTAAATAAAGAACAAAGGGAACAGGAGACTGCATCAGAAAGCAGTCAGCCCAAAAAGTCAGAAAGCCAAGCCTCAAAGAAGTTGCTGAACCAGTCCCACAAGCTTGTCCACTGTAGGGATGGAGATTTGACAATGAGGTGGTGAAATTCAGTGCTCCACCCTGAGCTGTCGTTCAGAAATTAGGAGATAAGTTAGCTAAAAATTCATCACACATCCTGCTTGCTAGTCATCCTGGAGAAAGGGCTGCATGTAAATGCAGTGTATGTGTACAAACGTGTGCTTTGCAGGGTCTTCTAGGCGACAGAAACTTTGGCAGCCGGCTATCAACAGAGGGATGCTATAAACTAGTCTTCTCTTATCAATAGTTTAGGGTGGTGGAGAATGAATTCCAGAGGTTGGAGATGACTCAGCAGGCGGCAGCACTGACTGCTCTTACAGAGGGCTCAGGTTTACCTCCTAGCAGCCACAGAGCCACTCACAACCACTGCAGCTCCAGTCCAAGTGGGATCCAGTGACCTCTTCTGGCTTCTGTGGGCACCACACATATTGGGGTACATATACATACATGCAGGTAAAAAATTCGCACACACAAAATAATTAAATCTTTCAAAAAAAAGAATGAATGAATTACAGCTATATGTGGTCACATAGTTTGCCACACATGACACGTTTCTAGGTGACCAAGAATCTGTGCAGCACACTTTATATTTTTATGGACACACACA